GTGGCAACACGTTTTTTATATTTTTCTCTTGGCAACGTTTTTCTTAGTTGTTGTCACTGTTTTACTTTACCATGTAGAATTTACTGTACTTGTGCCATTTTGTGTTTCAATATATGTTAATTTAGATGAATCTCTGCTTATTTATTTGTCTCCATTCCTAACGTTAGACTTCATCAGGTTATGGGTACTAGCATGATATAACTGTGCGGGGAAATTTAAGAGCGAAGTGGAGATAAACATTACCGGCAGTTCGTAAGCCTAACACGACAGTTCTTAAGCCTTATGTGAGTCAGCAAATTAGTTCGCAAAAATGGAAGCTGCAAAGATATTGGTTCAGCCGTTATGCGGAAAAAGTGATTGGCCTATTTGGAAATATAGAATTAAGTTCATATTAAATTATCACGAAAATGCTTTAGAAGTCGTGGAAGGAAAACTGAAGAAGACAGAGGAGCCTGATCATGCGGCCGCCGAAGAGATTCAAAAGAGATTTAGAGATGATATGAAGGATTTTAATAAAGCAAATAATTGCGCTATGATGGTTCTTACGAACTCCATGACTGAAGACACTTTACAAAAGGTAATGAGATTTGACAGCGCAAGAGACATTTGGCTGGAACTTCACAAAGTATTCGAAGATTCGTCCGATAACCAACTTTATAACATATGTTTACAGTTCTTCAAATTCAGGCTGTCAAATGAAGATATGGCAGCTCATTTGTCAAAATTGAAAAATCTATGGAATGAACTGAACAGTGGGCTTGAAAATAAGGAAGAAAACAGACTGCCAAAAATGCTGTTGATTTGTAAAATATTGGATACTCTTCCTCCCAGTTATCGTACTTTCAAATCGAGTTGGTTACTTCTTAGTGATGAAAAGAGAACTTTAGATGAATTAACCACACAATTGTGCACCCATGAAAGAGAATTAAGGAAAGATCCAAATTTTTTAGAAACTTTAGATCAGGAAGCATTGATAGCAATTCCGGAATTTAAGCGGAAATCATCTGTTAACAAGAAAAACAATGGCAAGTGTAATTATTGCCACCAGAGAGGACATTGGGTCAGAACATGCAAGAAATGGATAGCTGATGGAAAACCGCCGAAACCCAGTCCACATATAGGGCCGAACAAGGGAAGTAAAAACAGTGTTGCTGCAAATATGACACTTCTAGCTGTAGATGGTACAATATTTTCTGAAGAAACGAATTCTGGTGATTGGTTTATTGATAATGGGGCCTCGAAGCATGTCGTCAATAACAGGTACTACTTTATAGACTTCAAAAGATTTAAGCTTCCTTATAGCATCACTGTGGCAAATGGAAAGTCATTACCAGCAATTGGAAAAGGCACCATCAAGATAATGACCATTGTAAATGGGATGAATCAAATCAAAAATCTTGAAAATGTCTGGTATGTTCCAGAAATAAGTAAAAATCTATTTTCTGTGTTTATCAAGATAGAAATCAAAACAGTGTGTTTGAATCAACATTTAAGGACTGCTATTTAAAAATAGATGGTGAAATAGTTCTGCATGGAACAAGAAATGCTGGTGGGGGTCTCTTCAAAGCCGTGATGAAGACCTTAGTTCCTGAAACTGACATTGACATCAACATGACTGGGAATAATGAATCAACTCTCCAACTTTATCATGAACGATGGGGTCACCAAGATAAAAAGAATGTAAAGGCCATTGTAGAGAAAGAGTTGAATATTAAGATTAAGTCTGATATGAAATTATATGAAGCTTGTGTATACGGAAAATCCCACCGTTTAAAGTTTGGAACCAGGAAAGCGGTTACAAAAGCTGGAGAATTGTTCTCGACAGATATTTGTGGGCCATTTGATCAGTCATTTAGGAAATACCGTTACTTTGCAATCTTCAAAGATGCCTACACCAAATTTCGATACTGTTTTTTCTTAAAGCACAAATCAGAAGTAAAAGATGTGCTTGAAAATTTCATAGCTCATGCACTAAGAACTTAGGGCATACGGTTAAAGAAATACCTCAGTGACAATGGTGGAGAATTTAACAACCAAAGCCGTTCGCAAGATCTTGAACAAGCATGGAATCTCCCTGAGGCCTCACAGCTTCCATATACACCAGGGCAAAATGGCAGTGCTGAACAAGAGAACAGAACAGTCCTAGAAATGGCCAGAACTCTCAAATACTCGAATGAGGAAGTGGACTTTCCAGCTTTCCTATGGGCAGAGTTCATCAGTACTTCAATTTATATATTGAATAGGACAGGCAAGTCTTCAGTTCCTAATTCAAGCCCTTATGAATTATGGATGGGAAAGAAACCCAGAATAAAACACATGCGCATCATTGGATCAACTTGCTATACTTATATCCCAGTTCAGAAGAGGAGAAAGATAGACAAAAGGGCAACTAAAGGCTATCTCCTTGGGCATGATGGAGATGAAAGGTACCGCATATACATCAAAGAAACCAGTACAGTAATCTGTTCCCGAGATGTCATATTTGAAGAGAAACCTTCCATGACTGGAAACATTATAACATTGCACCCACAACAAGTTTCTGGAAGAAATTCATCTCAAGATAATGAAGTTGAAAATAAAGTAATAGATGAAGGCTCTCAACAGGAAAAGAAGGAGGTGGAGGATATACCAGAAAAGGAGACTCGACCCAGAAGACAAATTTCAGCACCTAAGTGGACAAAGGATTATATCATGGAAAATTCAGATATTTATGAAGAAAATCCTCCAGAAATAAATGGAATTACAAGTGGAATGCAGTGCAGCTGACAATCCGAGAAACAGAAATATGAAGGCTTAACACCCAAGAAAGCTTTCCAGAATGATCCTGAAACTTTAGAAGAGGCATTAACTAGTCCAGATGCAGAAAAATTGAAGTTAGCCATGGAAGAAGAGTTGGAAAATTTAAAACGAAATGAAACTTGGGACATAGTGCCTAGGCCAGAGGGAAGGAAAGTTGTGAAATGTAAGTGGGTCTTCAAGAGAAAACTTAACAAAGATGGACAAGTGGAAAGATATAAAGCTCGTTTAATTGCTCGTGGCTACACCCAAGTCAAAGGAATTGACTACAAAGAGATGACGTTTTCTCCTGTAATAAAAACAAAATCAATTAGAACTTTTATTAGCATTCTCAGTTGAGCAAGACTGGCAGGTTCATCAAACTGGATATTACTGCAGCCTATTTAAATGGAAGACTTGAGTGAGACAATTTTCATGGAAACAGCCACCCGATGAGTCTGCACCATGAGAAAACACATAGAGAAGTTTGCTTGCTAAAGAGAAGCCTTTATGGACTTCATCAGTCTGGGAGAGAATGGAATATGTGCCTCGATAAATTTCTGAATGAATCAGCGAGCCTAACAAGATCCAGAGCAGATCCTTGTGTTTACTTCAATAAAGAAAAGGAAGTTAATTGTAGGTGTGTATGTGGATGATCTCTTTGTAATGTCCAGCAAAGAATTTCATCATTCAGGAATTTAAGGATAATATTGCAGCTACATTTAAAATCAAGGACTTGGGAGAAATACATTACCTTCTTTCAATTAGGATCTTTCAAGCAGAAAGGAAGATAGGCTGTGTGACTCTTGACCAAAGTGTCTATGCCAGTGAACGTCTTGGAAACACAACTAATATGCAAGATGCTAAAGGAGCATCAACACCATTAGATCCAGGTATGAAATATACAACAGCCACTAAGGATAACATGTTGAATGCTGAATGAGCATTAAAATATAGGCAGGCTGTTGGAGGGCTCTTGTACCTAGCAGGAGGAACAAGGCCAGATTTAGCTTTTGCTACTACTTACATGAGCCAATTCAATAATTGCCCAAGCAAGGAACATTGGGCTGGTGTATAACATATCCTTCATTACCTAAAACAGACCAAGGAATTAAAGCTGACTTTCCAAAAGACAGGAAAGAATTTGGAAGTGTTTTGTGATTCTGATTGGGCTGGTGATAAGATTGACAGACGATCATTTAGTGGCTATGTGGTGCTACTAGCAGGTGGAGCTGTCTCATGGAGCAGTAAGAAACAAAAGACGACTGCATTGTCAACAGTTGAAGCTGAGTACCTCTCAATGTGCCACGCAGCCAAGGAAGTACTGTGGTTCCAAAATTTTTTTAAAGAAATTGTGGGAGAACATTTTTTAAACTTTCAACAAAGCATATTTGTTGATAATCAGGGTGCCATTTCTTTAGCCAAAAACCATGTCACTTCAGAGCGTAACAAACATATTGAACTCAGGCATTTTTTCTTGAGAGAAAAAGGTTGAAGAGAAGTTGTTAAACTTTACGTATGTGCCTTCCAGATCAAATGCAGCAGACATGTTCACAAAGAGTGTGCAAAAGAAAGCCTTGTTCAATCAAAGGTTGTGTGTAGGACTGAGGGAAATTTAATCAAGGGGGAGTGTTGCAAATAACTTTTATTTGTGATTATATTTCCCATTTCTATTTTACAACATGTGTGGCAACACGCTTTTTATATTTTTTCTCTTGGCAACGTTTTTTTTTTTTTGTTGTTGTTGTCACTGTTTTACTTTACCATGTAGAATTTACTGTACTTGTGCCATTTTGTGTTTCAATATATGTTAATTTAGATGAATCTCTGCTTATTTATTTGTCTCCATTCCTAACGTTAGACTTCATCAGTTTTAAATCTGATTTGTTGAAACTGTACTTTCAATTTCTAAAATTCATAAACATTCAACTTTATAGATTAAAAATTAAATTGGGGTTAGTCTAGTTCTCAATTAATTTATCAATTATTATCTCAGTCATTAATGTTTATAATCAAGCATATAAAAGTAAAATTAAATCATATAGAAAGCTACCATAATCATTACAGTTTTAAAATAATTCGTAATACTTGAAACATTCATTACTGTAATGAATAACTGTAATGAATGCCTTGAAATTTGTATGTGTGTTAAAAAAAAGGTATTGAATTCATGTTTGTTTATTTGATATTTCCCAAATTGTTAGATAATATTTTTTTTTATTTAGAAATTAATGGAAGAAAATGAAATAAAGGATATGGAAAAGCTTAAAAAAATGGATGGCATAAGTAATCAAGAAATGGCTCAAAGGTAAGGTTGCATTTTGAACTTATATGTAGCATTTTCCATGTATTGTTCAACTTTATTTTTCAATATCTGTTAAGCACAACATTTTGTTCTGTTCTGGATACAAACATTTATTATTATTATTGAACTAATAATCTGAAATTCATCAAGTCAAATTTCACATTGCCAGTAATAGGAACTGGATTTCTTACATGTCTCTCAAAACTATATCATATTTTCCATTTTGGGCTTTAATATTGGTGGCTGCTAGTACTAATTTATGTATTAAAACTCAGCCATGTCAATAAATTTCCAAGTAAGTTTTGCAGTATGCAACTGATCTTTCCTGCTGATATTTATTGTCATATTTTTTTATAGTTTTTTGTACAGAGGAAACCAAAATTCACTAAAATTTAAAATGTCATAGAGAAAGTGAATTATTTCTTACATGAGAATGTAATTTGCTTTAATGCTATGCATTTGGTCTTTTTCTCTGCAAAAGATTTACAATTTTGCTAATAGATGCTGTTCCCACTGTCATCCCACTCTTCATTCGCCATTTAACAAAAATAAGCTTGATTAAATGCCATGCATTTGCATTGTAGCAGTGAAAGGCTGTGATGGTTTAAGAGACCACATTGGGTGTAAAGGACAGAACCTAGGTCCAAGTCATGTGAGTGAAATGGTGTACCTCGTCATAAAAGTGTATTCTTGAGTTGACTCATAGCTTTTGCCATAAGCAAGCCGCTGCTCAAATACCAAAGTGTTAAACAGCTATAAGCAATAAATCACCACAGTGATGCCTTTTTGATGTCACCACAGGCAAGCCTCCACTAAAACATCGAAGTGTCGCACAGCTGCAGGCAATAAATCGCCACAGTGGCGCCCTTTCAATTACATCATGAATGAGCCTCTGCTTAAACACCAAAGCCTTGAGCAGCTGTAGGCAGTAAATCACTGAAGTCTTGTGGCCACCATAGGAGTGCCCTTTCAACGTTGCCACTAGCAAGCCTCGGCTAAAATACTAAAGCACTGAATAGCTGTAAGCTATAAATCACCATAATTTCACAGCTCCTACAGCTTCATTTTAAAACATTTCACATTGTTAAATAATAAATATCTTCTACCACAAAAAATCACATGTTGTCAGTGTATACTACCAATATTCATTTCATTTGGCAGGAGTCTAAAAAAGTGATTTTGCAGTTTATAGAAGCTTGTGCTAAATATGAAGGTCCACTGGTGTAAACTGGGGACATTAAGTAGCCTCATAATCAAATATCCAAACATTTTCAGCAATCAAGGTAACCAAGCAATCCTGCATGGCTGTTACGAAAAACCATTTCATTAGAGTTGCTGTATGAGGACATGTAACATCTTACATAAACATAACAGTTTCCACAAGACTTTGTTGCTACATTCTCCCATAACATCAGGTAGTGTTCTATTATGGTGCATACTTTCCAGCTGCTTATTGTACATGGCTCTTCAAATGAAAATGAGCTGATAATGATAAGTGCTTTGAGACTGCTGTACACTGTACAGTGGCTGAGTGTGAAAGTGTAAGTAGTTTATCTTTTCTCCATATTTGACAGTTATCGTAACAGCTGCAGACAATAAAAAAACCACTTTGTTTGTCTAAAGCAGTGATCGGCAAAGCATCAATTGCAAACTAGTAATAGCTCGCGGGCACATTTTCGGTAGATCAGTTAACGTTTCAGTTGGCTAATCTTGATTCCTTCACTGAGCTGATGCTGATGACAACAACTGCTTGTTTCTTCCACACAACTGCCATTATCCGCCTCATCTCATAGTTGAGTGTATACGTGTGAGGTTGTGGACATTATGTTTTTCTTCTGTATATTAGGCATTTGTTAGCTTGGATAGTTTGATATATGCATTGGTACTAATCTAGCTCTGTTCTAATAATGATGGTGTGTTCAAGCAAAAAACAAAAAACTTATCACTTTCATTTTTTGGAAAGGGAAACCGATTGCTACTTTACCCAGGTAAAGGACAAAGGTGTGTGTTTACTGTGCTAAAATCTAAATGCTGAACAATCAACTTTTTTAAAACCATTAACCAAGAATAAAGTAGCAACTGAGGCAACATTCTGAGTTTCAAATATTATTGTACAGAATAAGAAACCATGAGAACCAATCATATTGAGAATATTACTTAGTATTCCTGTTAGTGTTGCTAGCAGCGAAAGGTCTTTCTCTAAATTAAAATTGATCAAGACATATTTATGGCCAAATATATCACAGGAAAGACTCATAAATCTAGCTTTAATTACCATTGAAAACGAAATCTGTCAAGAGATTGATGCAAAAGAAATTATAGAAAAATTTGTAAATATCAAATGCAGAAAAATTAATTATTGTCGATAAACTTAAAAAAAACAGCAAATGCTTTCTTCAAAACTTCCGTCTCCTATACAAAAATTTTTTAAAAAGCGGGGGCGTGCGTGACTTCAGCTATTTTGCAGGTGGGCGGCGGATAACCTTGCGCTGGTGCTTGACCTAGTAAAGCTTATATCGTTAACAGGATGCACTACAGAAAAGGACATATTTTTTGTTCTTAAAGGTCTCTGAAAATATTCCTATAAATAAGTTGGTTGGCTTAGCAACTGGTGGAGCTCCTGCAATGGTAAGCAGAGAGAAGAGTTTCATAACCTTGTGCAATAAAGACAAGAGTTTTTCAAAATTTCTGTCTTATCATTCTGTAAGAAACCAGGAGTCACTGCGTGGAAAGTTTTTAAGTATGAACAATGTAATGAAAATGGTCATAAAAATAGTGAACAAATTTAGAGTATACGCAATTCAGAGACATTTGTTCAGAGCACTGAATAATCAACTAACTTGCCAGTATTGTGATCTACTGCTTCATATGGAAGATCGTTGGTTGTGAGTAGAAGTGGAGTATTACTGCCTTAGTAGAATGTGGAGAGTTGCTTCCTGTCATAGTGGAATTTTTGAAAGAATGAGGTGAATCCTTCCATGAACTAGAAGAATGAACATGTTTTGGCTGCAGGATTTTGCTTTTCTCACAGACATCACAAAAAAGTTAAGTATCCTTAACTTGCAACTTCAAGATAAAGATATTGGCAGAACTAATTCAGATGTTGCTTCATTCTCAAAAAAGCTGGAACTGTGTATGGGGGAATGTCCATCCAATTTGAATACAAACACTTTGCCTGTTTGAAATAAACCCTTGACCAGCAAGAGTCTTCAATACCTCCTTACAAGAGCAAATAATACATTGTGCCTTTTATAGAGACTGATACTGAAGAGTTCTCTACATGTGTCATAGAACATTTTTATTTCCAAGAAGACAGTGCTGCAGTGCTGTTGGAATTGATTAATTTTCAAAATGATTTATCTGTAAAATCGCTTTCTTTAAGCTCTGAAAATATTTGGCCTGTTATTCCTAAAGAAAAATACCCGATTTTGGTCCAGGTTTGTCTCAAAGTGAAGACAATGTTCAGCTCTAAAGTTAAAAAATCTGATTTTAAAAAAATCTGTTATTACATTTGTTATTTGTTATTGACTACACTTCAATTTCTTTTTTAATTTCATTTTCTTTTTGCTGTATATGGTTAAAATTAATTTCATATTTACTAGAAATGTAAGTTTATAGGCAATAAGCAATTGTAAGTTTTTTTTTTTTTTTCTTTTTTAAACGTTGGTAGTTATTTTGGTTGGTAGCTCAACGGTAAGAAGTAAAAAAAGTATAGTAGCTCAGAAGCTTTGTAAGTTGGGTGACCTCTTTGTTTAAAGGATGTTCATCATCAGCAATTTTTCTCGGTGTTGCTGATTCCTGATGATTTAGGACATGATTTGGTTACATTTGATGCAATGATTGCAACTTATAGCGGTGCAATTGCAATAGTCTACCTAAGATTTGGAACACTAATGAATTTGGTGCTTTGTGGTTAGGGCCAGTGCCAGAGCTGATGGGATTGCAGCAGAATTTAGTAGTGGCAAAAATTTTAGAATTATCTGGAGCATCAAGCAACAAAATTTAGAGAGGGCGGAATTTTTAGAATTTAGATCACACACTGAACAGAAAAATATTTAGAATTTGTGGAAGCATAAGCAGCAGAATTTAAGGTCTGCAAAGATTGCACAAGGCAGCAAAATGACTAGTGCCTGCTTTTGGATCTGGCAGTTTCCCAAGCACTGAATGCACTGCTTGTTTGTTGTGCTGCTGATGCCTTCCGTTGTCCTGCTCCATATCTTGCACAAATTTTGCCAACAACGATATCTCACTGTTAATCTACTGGTAAAACTTTGGTGGTAAAATTACCAGTTTCTTGAAAATGTTGCATGAGCGTTAACTCAATCATTAGGCTTTGTTATCCTTCCATCTTTCTGCATATAAAAATAGTATAAAACTCAAACAGCTGATTTTTCTCTGAGATAGAGCAATTTCACCAGCAGTACCTTATCAATCAAACTCATCTTGCTATAATACATCATGAGATTCCGTGAGCATGAATCAATACCCCCCAAAAGTAATAATTGATATTTGGTAGATTAACAGCTTCTTTTAAAGACAGTCTTATTTATAGATCTTTGTTTTCTGTAGTGTTCTATCAGCAATATTCTGAACTAAAGTTGATTGTGCTGACAAAAAAAAAGTACAAATTAAATGCATGAATTTTAGTGCAAACTCCATCTTACTATGAAGATATTTATTTCTTCTGGATTTTGAAAAGTCAAAGGAATTTGGATTCCCTTTATATTTGGCATTCTGTAATTTTCTTCTTCTTTTAACTTTATTATTTAGAAAAATGAGTATATATATATTTTATACCCGTTCTTAATTTTCAGTGTCATCTGTTTTGTTACATGTCCGATTTCCTCATTTAACTTTCAAAAGTTCCTACAAGGGAGGGCAAAAGACTGCCATGAGCCAAATATGGCTCATTTAATTGTTTAATTATCTGACCCATTATGAAATACTGTGAAACGGCATTTTCATCTCTTTTCTCCCCAATTTTGTTTGCAAATTACCGAAAT